CTCGGCTCCCTAGTGGTCTTTGGGGATCACGAATTCTGGGCATAACAGGATGACATTTAAAAAACTGTTTAATTGTTTTTGAATCACCTCATCTGCAGCATAGATAGGAAGGTATTCAACAGAATATTAACCATGATTGTGGTTATTGAATATGGAAGAATCTGAGTATTTCCTTCTTGAGTTCAATCAGAGAAGCATACCAGTAGGAATGGGATGTATTACAGGGATTTGGCCTTACAAAATTGTGGGAGCTAGTTAAATAGTTTATACACGGAGGTTATCTCCGCATCCGGAGCTGGGCCTGATGTCAGTAGGGAAGGCAGTCAGGAAAGAAAGGGCGTGAAATGAGAGAGAGCAGAGACAAGCTGGAATCTGCAAGGATGAACTAAAAGCCACATCAGTTTCTCACCGACTTCACTGCTCTGACTTCAATGATAACTTGAAGAAGATACTTGTGCCTGTTGTCACAAAGCTAATGTGTACCTGGTAGGAGGTAGAAAGCTCAGAAGCCCAAGGAGGAATCCAGCAGGAACTAGAACAGCTGTGGGTCTGGCTGCTGTCTCACACCAAGGTGGGAGGCAGATCTGTGGTATCAGTCATGGTCTGCAACCACACCTGACTCTCTACAAACCAGGTAGAAGTACACAGTTGACCCTTGAACAGAGGGGCCACTTATACCTGGGTATTTTACAGTAAAGTACTGTAAATGTATTCTCTCTCCCTTATGATTTTCTTAATAACATTTTCTTTTCTCTAGCTTACTTTAATTGTAAGAATACAGTATATATAATAACACATAACATGCAAAATGCATGTTAATCGACGGTTTATATTATCTGTAATGCTTCTGGTCAACAGTAAGCTATTAGTAGTTAAGTTTGGGGGGAGTCAAAAATTATAGGAGTGCTGGATGGCTCGGTCGGTTAAGTGTCTGGCTCTTGATTTTGGCTCAGGTCGTGATCTCATAATTTGTGAGTTCAAGCCCCAGATCAGGCTCTGTGCTGACAGCACGGAGCCTGCTTGGGATTCTCTCTCTCCCTCTTTCTCTGCCCCTCCCCCACTTGCCCACTCTCTCTCTCTCTCTTTCTCTCTCAATAAATAAACTTAAAAAAATTATATGTGGATTTTTGACTGTGTGGGGAGTGGGGGTGTTGGTGTCCCTAACCCGTGTTGTTCAAGGGTCAACTGGTACAACCAAATGGAGTAGAAGTATATTTCTGAGTATAAATAAACATGGCTTCTGGTTCCTTTCAAGCCCCACATAAGACTGTCTTGTGGCCACACAGGAGAAGGAATTCTAGCCATACAGCTTGACTAAGTTGATACAGTACAAGCTACCATGGCCTTTATTTGCTACTAACCCATGGGAGGACCACGGACAAGTTGCCTATCCTCTATGGCTCCCCAAGCCTCTCCAAGATAATTAAAAAAACAGCACTAGCCACTTTTTGTTTTGTATGTATGGGGTAAAGATGAGAAAGACTAGATTTGTAAAATTATTGGGTGAATGTTAGGATTAGTTCCGTATCATCATTTTAAGTTGTTTTATGTTTATTGTTCTGTGACATAGGCCTTCCTCTGGAAATGCTGCTTTCTGTCAAGCCGACTATCAAAACACATTAAATATGAAGATTTGATAGAAAAACGTATATATAAGCCAACAGTAACCCATAAGGTATGTCAGTCTTCCTAACAAGTAAATGAATACTTTGAGGTTTTCTCCCCAATGGGAAACAATGATAGTATGTCTCTTAATTATGTACTAAAACAATAACTCACTATTCTCTCTTCCATCAAGCTGCAAATACATAGCAAGCAGACTGTCTTTTATAATAATACTGCCCACTGAGCCTAAATACTACCCATTGTCATGTGTCGAGTCGCTGCTGTGTGTCATGTCCTGGCCAAATGGCTTTTAATACATCATATCTAATTTTCTCACTAACTGTGCAAGATAAGCATTTTTGCCAATCCAATGTGTGTGAAATAGTATTTCATTGTTTTAACTTATATTTCTCTAATACTAGTCTACTGATTGTTAGGTTACTTCTTCTCTGAATGGCTTATTTATATCCTTTGCTGAGTCCTGGCCCAGGCCATTACCAGCTGTATAAAATTGAACAAGTTATTTAAATCCTTTGCATCTAAGTTTCCTTATCTGTAGAAAGAAATACATATAAAGGATTACTGTATAAATGTAGAGTAATTTTTAGGATAAAGTGTATTCATGTATATTAACTATTATTAATTCATAGCACATATGTTAATTGGCATTTGGATATAAATTCCCATTTGCTCTGTTATAAATATGTTCTCCCTGACAGTGGCTTGTCTTTAAACTTAATTTATAACATATTTTATCATATAGGAGTTTAACATTTTTATAATAATATATATCAGTACTTTAATGATTTCTATCTTTATAAAGAACTCATCTTTCCCTCAAACAATAAAACATTATGAGATACCTTCTTCCAGTTGTTTTAAATTCTTTTTAACGTTTATTTTTGAGAGAGAGAGCGTGAGTGGTAGAGGAGCAGAGAGAGAGAGAGAGAGACAATCTGAAGCAGGCTGTATGCTCTGAGCTGTCAGCACAGAGCCAGATGCAAGGCTCGAACTCACAGACCGTGAGGTCATGACCTGAGCCAAAGTCGGATGTTTAACCGACTGAGCTACCCAGGCGCCTCTCTTCCAGTTTTAAAATTTTGAATTTCATATTTAGATATTTAATCTACCTGGAGTTTATTTTTATATGGTATGAGGAAGTACATATCTATTTTTTTTTTTTTCATATAGAAAACTGAGCTAGGTCAGACCACAAGTGCTAGTATAGGTAAGAAGTCTGTTGAGAATGGTGACCTCACTTAGCTTGGGTTACTTTCTTGGTTGTTTAATAGTGACCCAGTCAACAACCAGGGCAAAGGATCATAGGAGGGTAAAAGCATGCTTTCGAGGAAACAGCTCTCCCAAATTTCTTTGTCACTGTGGAATTGCCCCTAAATACTTGGGGGTCTCAGCAGCCTGGGAGAGAAAAGTGCCAGAGGCTACAGAATCAAGACAACCCGCCTTTTATATCATCTTGGAGTTTAAGAGGGTTTTGGTGTGAAGTGTTACATCAACACTTAAGGGTGACCCTGTGATCTCTTAAAGGTGTTGGTACAATGCATACTTTCTATTCCATTTCTAATTGGGCCTCCTTGATTTTTTCGTGCTGTGAGATGTGAGGTGACACAGTTGTCCCAACTCCATTTATTGACCAGTTCTCCCCATGATTGGTAACATGTCCCACACCAGAGACCTGCAAAAACCAATGTCTGTCTATGAATACAATAGCCAATATAATCATTTATGTAAAACAGACAATTTCAGGGGCACCTGCATGGCACAGTTGGTTAACCGTATGACTTTGCCTTAGGTCATGATTTCAAGGTCTGTGGGTTCAAGTCCTACATTAGGCTCTGTGCTAATAGCTTGGAGCCTGGAGCTTGCTTCGGATTCTGTGTCTCCCTTTCTCTCTGCCCCTTCCTCTCTCATGTTCTGTCTCTGTCTCTCTCTAAAAAATAAATAAACATTTAAAAAAAGTTAAAAAAAAAAACCAGACAACTTCAAATGTTGTCCATCTTGATTTTGGTTTGTGGATTCTAAATGTCCAAAGTTCAAATGATTCAGAGTTGAAGTGAAAGAAAACTAAATCCTTATTTTCCTTTTGATGACACATTCTAGTTTTTAAAGATTCATAACACAATCCAGAGCCTTTTTATATTGATGCCTAATTGTATGACATGGGCTCAGGACTTGGATTTGTGCCTTCTGATAAATATGGTGGTGTCAGATATCATAGCAGGTGATTATAATTGCAATAATTCTGTAGCCTTCTCACAGTAGGAAACTAAGTCAGTCTGTGAATTGGTCAGCAAACTCTCCAAAGGAAATTACTAATGTGAGAAGTGGAGGAATAAATGTGTGGTTATAGTCCAGTTTAATTTCCTGTGAACTGATTGCTTCCTTGGTAGTGGTCAATATGTGTGTCTCAGTGCCTTTGGGGAAGCATGCTCCTATGGTATTATGATGGATAATAAAAACACAGAATCCTGTGTCTCCCTCTCTCTCTGCCCCTCCCCCACTCATGCTCTGTCTCTCTCTGTCTCAGAAATAAATAAACATAAAAAAAATAAAATAAAACAACAACAACAACAACACAGAATCCTGAAGAAGAACATTGCTAAATGGTATTAAAATATGGCTCTGGGATGAAAAAATGAGCTTGTGACATCTGACTAATAGGGAGATGGAGCATAGTGAGAATTATTCATAGTGGTCAATGAAAAGGCCAGGATGCACATTGAGCAGAGCAGCCAGCAATACTCGGGTGTTGTTTGCACACTGCTTCTCTAAGTGACAAACTGTAATCATCAAAGCCTTCTCAAAACTTTCCATTCACCAGGGCTGCTTAGGCTAGTGTACAAGTGATATTTTTACAGATAGCTGTGCACGGATCATATAGACGCCAGCAGCTGTGATGGGTCCCCACTGTGGCACGGATCACCCAAGAAATTCCATGTGGCTTCTTGGGAGTCCTCTATTATTTATTTATTTGGGGCATAAGATTTATCTTTGTGAGTGTTTTTCCAGAATTAATATACACCAATAACCTTTGCATGTCCTGAGTATCTCTAAGGTGATGTAGAGAGGAGAATCCAGGATCATGCTGGCTAGAGACAGGAGGCAGAAAGAGCCCAAAAGGGCTGAGAGTGAGCTGTTGAGCAAATAAGAGAAAATGCTTAATTCTGCTGAACTGAGATTCTCAACCTAGGGACTGAACTTAGGGTTCTCAAACTTAGATTTCTGCAGAATCCCCTGGGAAGTTTGTTTACAATGCAGATTCACCCCCAATTCAGATTTACAGAGTCTGGAATGGACCCACAAATGTGCACATCCGAGGTGTTTCTGAAGTATGTGGTCTAGGAACTATATTCAGAGGAAATCCTCTACTGCTGATGAGTAGTTGTATGTGTTGGGGGTTCATGAAAAAGGACTATGGAAAGGAACCATGCACCTGAACCCCCAACATAGTATGACAAATTGCACATCCAGACATGCCTGTGCATTTGATGAGGGAGCATAAGGCAAGCTGACAGGCCACAAACACCCTCCATACCCCCCACACCCAGATGGGATATGTGTGATACTCCTCAGGTACTCCTGGCTGCCCAAGAACAAAGGAAAGTGGAAAACAAATAGTTAACTGATAGAGATCACAGTTCTATAGGACCTAAGTCTCCATCACCCCTCCATAGTGATGTGGGAAACAAAGGCAGAAGGAAATGACAGAATTAAATTTCTTTATCACCTGCATCCCATTGACAAATACTTGAGGCTGACAGAGTGAAACCTTTCTCCCTGAACTCCCTACTGTCTTAATGCTAATGCTTTGCTAGAGGAAAAAACAAACTTAGATTGACAATAGCTAGACCTCCAGTATCCTGTGAGTCTTTAGTTTATGAAAATCTTGCTAAAGATTTCCCCTGGACTTTACCTCCCCACAACTCCATAGTATAAAACCAGTCTCTCCTCATGGTTCCAGGGCAGCTCTTCCTGCCCATGGGTCTTGTCCCCATGCTTCAGTAGAATCTACCTGTTTACACCAAAGACATCTTCAACAATTCTTTCTTGGCCATTGGCTCTGGGCCCCACAAACCCCACTATCACCCCAAAAACCTCATCACATTTTTCAGAGATAAAAATCTAGGGGCACCTGGGTAGCTCAGTCAGTTAAGCAGCCAACTCTTGATTTAGGCTCAGGTTATGATTTCAGGGTCATGAGATTGATCCACATGTCCAGCTCTGTATTGATAGCATGGAGCCTGCTTGGGGATTCTCTCTGTCCTCTCTCTGCCCCTCCTCATGTGTGTGTGCACGCTTGCGCGCTCTATCAAAATAAATAAACAAACTTTATTAACAAAAAAGAAGGAAAGAAAGAAAGTCCATACGTTTCCTCACATACTTGGAAGGATCCATGTCCCTCAGAAGTTACAAACCATGATAGCATGTAATCTCCACAAAGCAAATGATCGGATCTCTATTGCCACAGGTGTTTAACTTCTCTTCCAGATTACTGCCCCATATCCATCCAGCATCTCACACAAATATGAACATTCTTGGCCCTAGGAAGGCTCTGGTCGGAGACAATGTCTGGGTCCCTGTGACTCAGTTGTCAGTATTGGGAAAGTAACACAAAGGGACATCCTACTGAGATGGATAGGTAGCTTGTCTCTGCAAACAAAGATAGCAGTGCTGTTTTGTGCACTAGAAAGCCTTGCTAATGGCTCCCAAAGATAGCCAGAGGGGCATGGAACTCCCCCAGGAGCTGCTTCTCCTCAGTCAGTGCCTGGGAAAGGACCCTCAGAGTCAAAGGTCTGATTAGAAGGAGGTCTTTCTAGTCCTCTGGCTTCAGTTCCAGAGCCCCCACAGCGCCTTGAGCTTCCAGAACCTTCCTCTCCTGTCCCTCAGGCTATGTAAAACTGAAGAACAGCCTGGAGTTACAGTGTAAGGGCATCCCCATTGAGCATGCTAACCTTAACTTTGCCCTTAGCCATTTTTTTCATTTACCACATAACTTCTCAAGCATTTATTATTGTTAATTTCCATGAATTATTTTTTCAAACTGTTTAAGCA